TGACCCTGGAATGTGGATGCTAATGGACAAGACTCCAGCCAAACCTGCCCAGCCTGTTTTTGTAAGATGAAGCCATGAACCCTTTTCCCACACCCCTCCTACAGAGAGCTGAGGTCAGAAACCTAAAAAAACATTAAAAATCAAAACCTGCAAATGCTTCAGGCTCTGAAGGGGCAGCTTAGCACATCTATGAATGCTCAGCACCCTGAACCAGAGATCCAAATGAAGGAGAAGAGCATTCTGGCCATCCTGCACACAGTGACCAGCGGGTTGGCTGGGGCTGACACACAACCCATCACAGGGAAGGCTGAGAGGACAAAGCTGTTCTGGCCAAGCCCATGCTGCGTGTGGAGTATCAGAGAGCTCAGAGTAAACAGGCAAACAAGCAGCAGCCAGAAATGTTAATATTTGCAGAAATCTCCTGGTTTTGGCGCCTGGGTGTGGGGAGCTGAAGGATGCTGTTGGAATGCAAACGTGATGGATTCTTGGCTGCCCAGAGGGGTGGCATGGGGAATTTCACAGGGCAGGACAGACTGCCTAACAGGCCTGCTCATGATGGCTCAAATGAGGAGTCCTGGGGAGGGAGACTGGGCTGAGAAGTTCAGTAGCACATGAAACTGGTCTCCTGGCATTGAGTTATTTGAGCATCCCTGAGGAAAAAAAACCCAAACATGATTAGGCCATGTTCATCCTCCTTTGCCTGTTCCAGACCTTGCTTCCCTCCCTCCATGCAGTAGGAGATGGATTTGTCCATGCTGATCCCCAACCCTTCTCCTGGATATATGATGGGGAAAATGACACAAACCTTCAGACTCCTGCCCTCCCTTCACCTGGGTCCTTTCGTGGGATGTTTAGGATGGTTTGAACCTGCTCAACACCTTTTGCCATCTCTGCAGGGCTTTTACCTGGACCATGGCTGCCAGTTCATAGCCACATAACTTCAGAGGCTCCAAAGTCTTGAAGGCTCTGGCTTTAGCAAAACAGCGATATCATTTTGGACTGGTAAGAAAATATTGGCAAATAATGGCCACCTCTGGTCACCTTCCTCCTGCAGCTATTTATCCAAAGATACCATATCTTGGAGCATTGCTTCATTTCCTGCTCACTTTTCTAACCGAGGCCTCTAAATCATGTCCCTGCAGCTGAGGTCACGGAGGGAAGTGTAATATCCATTAGCAGTGATGCTGCTATTACCTCAACCCTTCTTTCACTCCTTTCTGTTTACAGCAACCCCTTTCTACTTCTTCCCTCTCCTGGTCTCAGTACAGGAAAGAGCTGGCAGGAGCCTACAGAAGCAAAGCTTTGGGGATGCAGCCTGCTTCTGGGGACATGGGGAGTCTGGAGATTTCTCCTGGACCAGCAGCACTCCACTCTTTCCTGACCAGAGATGCCAAGGTGAGTGGGAAGGGCTGGTTTCAAGCTACCCCATCCTCACCCTGATAGAGTCCCTCACCTGGGGCTTGTCCAGGTCAGCCCATGGAAAAGATCAACTCCAATTTACCCCTCTGCCCCTCTCCTGTCCCACAGCTGGGCACTGCTCACGGAGAGCCACAGGATCCTCCAGGAGAGCAGGATCCAGAGAAATCAAAGTCTTCAGAGTGTATTTGCACTCAAACCAAAGTGAAACAGGGAAATCAAAATGCAAAGCTTCTTGTCCCCTGTGGAATTTCCCTGCCTGCATCTGGAGAGCTGACACAAGGGACTGACACTGGGATCAGCAGTTGCTTCCCCTTCCCTTCGTGTTTTGCTGACACCCCAGGGCAGCTGGACCCACTGCACTTCCCACGTCATCCCCCTCCTCCTGCAAGGCCAAACAGTTCCTCTGACACCCAACTCCAAGAATACATATTTACTGCATGGAACAGAGCACGGTGAAGAGTCTTGGACCCAATCCATGTGCTTTGAGCCAAACCCTTCTCAATCCATGTTATCCTTCACCTCCCCAGTGCATAATCAAACTCTAAACACAGCATTCCCAGCCCAGAGCTTGGAGCCTCCCGAGAGGAATATGCTAAAAAAAGAAAGAAAAACATTACATTGCCAACTGAAGTGAGTGCTGAAAGGAGGGAGATGCCAGGAGCACTTAAACAGGAATCTGAGACCGGGGGATGCTTGGGTGTGTGTTTTCAATCCCCAGAAGGGAGACGTGTTCATTGGGAAATGACTGTCACTCACTGCTAGTTTTAGACCTTGTAGTTGATGTCCCAGAAAGTGAAATGGCCATGACAAGGACATCCCCATCTGTATTAGAACTTTCTTCTTGGATTGATGCATGCAGTGCATGGTAAAATGGTGCCACTCCTCCTTTGGCTCTGAAATCTGCATTTGCAGTTCAAACCTGCAAAGATGGAAATAGGAAATTTTACATGAGCAACAGGTTCTGTTGGCAGCAAGGGGAGTTATTTGGGAAAACCTATACATCAGGTGGTCCAGGACTCTGTTGGGTGCTGGAGGACGTCCTGCAACACCTGAACCCAAGCTGGCAGCTCCACACCCTGATGCAGAGACTCTCTCTTCCAGGAGAGCAACATCCCACAGCGCCATGGCAGTCCTGGGCAGAGTATGTGCTGGCACTGCCCAGCCTGGTGCCATGCCATGAGGATGCTCCTGCTGTTCACACTGCGCAGAGGGACCAGGACTGGGCTCCAGCTGTGGCTAAAAGGGGAACTGATGGGAAAGTTCAACATCAGCTGAGCTATCCCAAATTCTGCTGTTTCAGGGTGAAGCTTCAGTTATCCAGCTATAGCCTCTCCAAACAATGGGCCTCCAGATGCCCCAAGGAGGCTGTCACCTGCTGGGCTCCATAACAGAGAGAGATGAGCTCTGACCCCAGCATAGATCCTGATTCACAGGGACACCTTCCAGCATTGCTGGCTTGGGCTGCTGGGGGTACATAACCTGTCACAGCACATTCTAGATCTCTTCTAAAAAGCAATTATTGATGCTTTTTCCTCTCCGCAGAGCCTCACAAACAAAGGATCACGGTCCTGCAACAGGTAAGGGACCAGCATCCTGACTCACCCTAGGCTGTGTCCTGTGCTGAGTCTTGTCTGTGTGTCTGTGCCTAGTTTATAATGTCTCCTGGAGGAATAGTGGCAAAGCCAGGCAGCTGGAGACAGATGATAAAGCCATTTCCCTCTCAAAAGGATGCACCTAAGGGGATGATTCAGCTCCCACCCAAAATCCACGAGTTCAAAGCCAGCTGTTTCTCAGGATTGCTGTGGCAGGAGGATGGGGGGTAACACCAGCCACTGTCCCGCTGCAATGGCATTGCTCCCATTCAGCCCTGGCATGTTCACATGGAAGCCTAGTGGAAACACAGATATCTAAATGTGGGGACTGAGGTTTTGCTGCAGGAAGAACACAGCTGAGAGGAGATTGTTCAGGCATCCCTGGATCCTCGTGTCATCCCTAGGTCCCAGTGTGATCATCATAGCAATATTCCCAGGGGCACTCTTCTGTGTTGTGCAGTGGAAAGGATGAAAGGGCAGCAATGGGAGCAGATTCAACTTGCTGGAAACAATCCCTGCCCAGTGAGTTCTTGCCCTTTAGTGCCCAGTGAACAGTAGGGATTGAGCATCCCTGTCCCAGAGCCACCATGAGTACTGGAGCAGGAGGGTGCAGCCAACACCCACCTTGCTCAGAGAGCTGGAGCAGTCCTGAGCCCCCACAATAACTGTGTGGGAGCTGCCAGCCCATTTGGCCATGGCCTGACCTTGCTGGTGTCCATGGATGTCACTTGCTTGGGCAGCCAGAGGCCAAGGCGTGCACCTCGCTTGCCCATGGCCAACATCCCCCAGGACTGATTGCTCCTCATGCATGCAGTGATGTTTCATGTCCAAACATCAGCATGGGGCCGTGGCTGAGTGTGTGAGCCCAAGGGGCTGCTGGGGACAAGGCAGAGGCCAACACCTGCAGGCAGGGCTGCTGTGGCCACATGCCAGTGACCAAACACGCACAGTGTGAGAGGAAGCCTGGGAAAATCCCTCAGATGAGCAAATGAAGATGGGCAGAAATACTTTCTGCACTAACTGCACTGCTGTAATGAGCAAACCAATGAGACCACCAAGAGGAGGAGGGCAGTAGCTGGACTGTGCCCAGCACATTGCCCTTTTGGGGACATGTTCTGGTTCTAATGGTGGTTAGGAAGGAGACAGATGGTCTGTGCAGCTCTTGTGAGTCCCTGTGTCCCCTCTCCTTTCAGTTTTGTTTTTACTTCCTGTATTGAAAGTTCTTGTGATTTTTCTCACATGTCCACCAGTGTCTGCTACTTCCCATCAAAGGGTTGAAAACTTTTCCCTCTTTCTTTCGCTAACAAGCCTGCAACCCTCGTGATTTCTGAGGTAACCCAAAGCTGTGACCCCAAAGCATTGGCCAGAGCTGTGTTCTGAAGGCACTGTGAGCACAGGACAGAGAGAGAGGCTTTGGCCTGGAGCTCATTTCTGTGCTCTTTACTGAATGCAGCAGTGGGGCAGGGGCAGGGCAGGACAGTGTAAGGGCAGTGCAGGGGAGGTGCAGGGGCACTAAAGGGGCAGTATACGGCCAGCAAAGGGACAGTGCAGGGACAGTCCAGCCCAGTCCAGTCCAGTGCACTCCAATTCAGTCCTGTCCTATCCAGTCCAGTCCAGTGCACTCCAATTCAGTCCTGTCCTATCCAGTCCAGTGCAGTGCACTCCAATTCAGTCCTGTCCTATCCAGTCCAGTCCAGTGCACTCCGGCCTCGCACGCGCTTTCCCGCAGGCGGCGCGTGAAGCCCCCGCAGCTGGCCCGGCGCGCTCGCACGTGACCGCGTCACACGCAGGGACCCAGCCCCGCCCCCTCGGCTGGCTCCCACCCAATGAGCTGGCGGGAGCGCTGCGTGCCCGCGTAATGATTGGTCAGGACGGACGTCAGTCAGCGGGAGGTCCCGGTTCGAAGGGTCGGAGGTGGGAGAGTGACGGGACGGGACGGGACGGGACGGGACGGGACGGGACGGGACGGGACGGGACGGGACGGGATCGGATCGGATCAGGTTAGACCGGACTAAACTAAGCGGTTTCAGCACGGTGGGGTCCCGGGGATGGCGGGGGAGCGGGGCTGCGCCCAGGGCAGCGGGCGGTGCGCACCGCGGGACTCGAGCCGCAGGGGTACCGCACACGGCAGCGGCGGTGCCGCATCGGCCCTGGAGCTCCTCGGGATGTGGCTGGGCGCTGACAGCCCTCGGGCCGGGTGACCGCTGCGCTGGGGCCCTGCGGGGACACAAGGCCGGGCCCTGTCAGACGCGCTGGGCGGTTTTGCTGAAGTGACGGGAAACTGAAGGTTGTTCCCGTGCAGAGGGAGTGACCTTCGGCCAGGGCTGCTCTGTAACTCGGGGCTTTCCAGCGCTGCGTGCACCCAGTGTAGCAGCTGGACAGGCCCTGTGCCTCCCGCCCCAGGTCAGGTAACCAGACCGCGGGAGCGGCACAAGTTCGGCCCAGTGCAGGGGGATGTGGTTCCGTGCGTGGTGGTGGCAGGGAGCTCAGGTGGGACCCGTGTGCCAGCAGGGATGGCCGGCAGCAGCCAGGACCGGAGCCTGCGGGAGGAGCTGACCTGTGCCATCTGCTGCGAGCTGTTCAGCGAGCCCGTCATGCTGGACTGCATGCACCACTTCTGCAAGGGCTGCATCCAGGAATACTGGGACAGCTGTGCCCACGTCCCCTCGTGCCCGCAGTGCCGCCGCAAGTTCCCCAGCCGCGCTTTCCGCTCGCATTACCTGCTCGCGGGGCTGGTGGAGAAGGTGCGGCGCTGCGGCTCCGAGGAGCATCAGCAGAAGATGCAGGTGAGTGGCTTCTGCCAGGCTGGGGAGAAGGGGCCAGGTGCCACATGTGCAGCCACCGCCCCTCCTCCCACAGGCAGTTGCCCCACTGTGAAGCCTTACCTGACCCAAATGGAGTGACATTTGTGTCTCTTCCCTATTAGTCCCTCTCCCTGTTTCCTTACAGCTGTCTGTCTTTTGAACACTTCTCTTTTGCATTTGTTTCCCTCACTGCTGTATCTGATTCCAACCACAGCTTTGTCGTTTCTTGTTTAAGGACGTGTCCCCTAAATGAGAGGGAGGTGAGGGCTGCTTGTGCCAGGTGCTCTGCTTGAGGGGACAGTCCCTTCACAACATGCAGCATTTAAAGCTTGTGCAAATAGATATTCCAGGCTGGAGTTCCCAGTGTTAAAAATAAATTGGATTCATTACATGCACAGATACTTAATTCTGTAGGCTGTGCATCAGGTGCTTGCTTCTCCTTACAGCCTTTATATGAGATCCTGTTGCAATTTGGGACTGTTCCTGAATCACAGGAGAGTGGTGAAATGCCTCTTTACCTTCTTTTCCTTACTCCTGCAGAAGCACCTGGAAGATGCTTTGCAAGCTCGTCAGAAGGAGATGGAGAACTTGGTGCAGAGGAAGCGTGTGGTGCAGGAGGACATCTGCAGCCTGACGGTAACACCCTGTGGGGGCTGCTCTTCGGGCAGCTTCTGGGGCACTGTTCACAGAGGATGTGTGTATCACTTCAGCTGAGGTTTAGCTCAGCTTCCTGTAAAAATCTAGATTAGCAGCAGTGGGGATCTACACAAATTACCCTGCATGTAGGCCCAAGTTCATCACTGCTGGATATTCAGCAGGGATTTTAGGAGGAGCATTAGCAGTCATTAATGCAGTGTTTACAAAGTGTATGGGTGCAGCAGAGCTGAGACTTGGTGAGAGCTGTGAGCAGCCTGCTCTGGCCCTGGAGTGCTGCCTCTTTGGGAGAGCATTGACTCTTGGCAGCTCTAAAATCCTCTCATGTCAGAAGGGATGGCAGCAAAGCTGAAGGAGCTGGGAGTGGCAGGGTTGGCACTGCAAGAGTTGTGGCCTTGTCACAAGGACAGTGTTGGGATTCACTGCAAAGCTCCGAGGTGAATGAGGAGCCTGACTGCTCTCCATGGGCTTGAGAGGGACCAGGCTCCCTGTTGGAACAGATCCATGAAGTGAGAGCAGCCACAGGCTGACTGTGCTGCTTTCTTGGGTGGCATAAAAGCGTTAAAACCAAGGAAAGAGAATTAAAGGAAAATGGAAGTAGTTCAGAGATGACAAAAAACTGAGAGGGAAAAAAAAACATTTTTTTCCAGTCTCCTAGTTGGAGGGAGCCCCTGATCCCCCAGCCTGCACCATTTCAAACCTCTGCCCTCTTGCCAGATGTGGAATAGACTTGAGATTAATGAAGAAGTGTTAGCAAATATTCACGTGTTTTCCTGTTGCTGTGCAAGAACCAAGAGGTGTCTCAGTAGTAAAGGAGCAAATTGCTGATCTGAACAGGGAGGCCCTGCACCTCCTCTGTGGTTCTGGTGTGTCAGCACAAACACCTGCTAGAGAAAGAGGAGGCTGGTGAAGCTTCAGATCTCTGAGGGAGATGGGTTTCTTTTTGGGAGAAAGGGATGTGCAGGAAGCACTCCTCGAGAAAGTAATGAGGGCTAAGTTGCACTTTGAGATTAAAAGCTTAAAGATTTAAGGAAAATAACAAATCATTGGCTGTCTCTTGTAAACAGGCAGGAAGGCAGTGAGAACACAAGATTGGCTGGTGAGTAACAACTGGAAAAAAGTGACCTCTGGATAGAGCTGAATGGGATTTCATCAGCCTTAATGACAGAGATTAGTTTGTGCAGTTTGCCTGTCAGGCAGCTCTGCTCAGGGTCTGGAATGATGTGAAATTAATGCAAGCTAACCTGAACAGCTGAGTCTGCAGCTCCACAAAATTTAAAGAGCTCCAGTCTTGCCCACAGGCAAATTCCTGATGGTGTGGGAGAGGACAATGGCTGCATGTGGAGATTTCCTTCACTAGATACAGTGACCAGGGTTTTTTGGTTTTGTTGGCATTTTTTTCCTTTGTCTCTGCAGTCTTGAAAGTTGTCCTTGTGCCCTGTTCTCCATCCAAAAAGTCATTGCTATGTCTAAACCTCCAATTTTCAGGGCTCTGTAAGCAGAGTAACAGGCACAGCCATCCTGTGCTTGTGTGTTTTAGGAGTTGGACTCACCTTCTGCCTCTTTCCTCTGCTCAGAAAGTGTCTGGGGAGCTGAACTTCAAGATTCAGTCTGAGTTTGCTCGCCTTCATCAGATCTTGGAGGAAGAGGAGAGAGCTGTGCTGGCAGAGCTGGGTGAGAAGGAGGAGCGGTCACTGGCCCAGCTGCACAGGCACGTTGGCCAGCTGGAAGAGGGGATGGAAGTGCTGCAGAGGGGCATTGAGCACATCAAGCTGACCCTGAGCAAGATGGAAGATGTGTCACTGCTGGAGGTGAGATGCTTTGCTGACTCTGGCAGGAGGCTGAGGGATGTTTCAGGATCTCCCACTGGGATGTGAGAGTCTTAAATGACAGCACTAGGCTGTACCCCAGAGCTGTTCTCACTGCCATCCTTCTGGATTATCTACCCAATCCCTTGAAGTCTGGAAACTTTAGCCACAAAGGATACAGTGACATCAGATATGGTGGGTCTTGGGAGATTTCCTCATTCTCCATCCAAGTGACCAAACAGTTTTCCCCAAGATGCTGGTCCTGGTAGCTTGGTTTCCTCTCTCTGTGCTGTGTGGCAGCAGGAGGCAGGACAAGGAACTTATTTGTGCAGCTGCATGAATTAGAGCGACTGCTAATTCTCTCTGCTTCTCACTGCAGGTGGAGAGCCTGGATATCAGGTACGTGTCTGGCATGAAAGAAGCTGATTGCCTTTTCAGGAGCTTATCTTAGTCCCTGGCTGGGACTACATGAGAGAGACACTTTATCTCAAGTTTAAAAGCATCACAAATTGCTCAGGAAGTCGCTGGTGCTGTGCAAGGTGGAAGCTGGTCTCCAGCATACACTGGGTGCTCTTCCCAGGGAGCATCCTACGTGTTGGCGTGGCTGGAGGAGTGGGTACAGGAGACAGTGGTTTGGAATGGGTGCAAGAGCCATGCATGCTGCAAGAGGGAATAGGCTTTGGGTGCTTCGTCTTCTCCCTGCCCTTCCTCTGCTTCTTACTACTCGTGAGGCTGCAAAAGTGACCCTGAGGTTCAGGTTTGTCTGAGGCTGGGAGTAGCTGAGGGCCAGAACTGCCATAGGGGAGTGTGTCCTGTCCCCTCCCTCCCTGGAATGCAGTCTGACTCCGCAGGCCCGGCCTGTTCAGCCATGCAGGAATCCTGTTGGCTGTGCTGGGTGTGGGTTTGCCAGCTGTCACTGCTCCACAAGCAGTGCTGCTGGTTGTCTTGGACACCTCTGCTCTGAGCCACTCACTGCACCGGGGGCAGAGCTGCATCAGGCAGAGCCAGCAGAGACATTTGTGTCCTGTCTTTACCAAATCTGTCACATGCAGTGCTGTCCTGCAGCCCTGCCCGTGCTTTTGCTGCCTGCATTGGCAGTGGCTCAGCAGAGGGATTGACCCTGCCTTGCCTCTCTTTGCCCCAGGCCCTTGGTGCATGTTGAGATGCAGCCTGCCCTGGACCTGCAGCACTACAGGGACAGCCACAGTGGTCCCTTGCAGTACATCTTCTGGAGGCAGATGCTGCGCTCCATCTGCCCTGGTGAGCACATCGCTGTGAGGGATGGGTGTGGTGGGCCAGGGGTGCTCTGCAGAGGGGGTATACAGCTGGAAAAATGTCATGCTCGATGTCTCCACAGCTCCTGCCCCACTCACCTTTGACCCTGAGTCAGCCCACCCCAACCTGGTCTTCTCCAGAGATCTGACAGCAGTGACAGAGAGGAATCAGGCCCAGCCTGTCCCCGTCAGCCCTCGGCGCTTCCGTCAGTGCGTCAACGTGCTGGGCTCGCAGGCCTTCGACAGCGGCCGGCACTACTGGGAGGTCTGGGTGGGCAGCAAAACCAAGTGGGACCTGGGGGTGGCTGCTGAGACTGTGGACCGGGCAGCCAAGGTCAAGCTGTGCCCAGAGAACGGCTACTGGACACTTCGCCTGCGGAACAGGACAGAGTACTGGGCCACTGCCACCCCCTGGGTGCGCCTGACTCCCCGCCAACCACCACAGAAAGTGGGCGTCTTCCTGGACTGCCAGGAGGGCACTGTCACCTTCTTTGATGCTGGGAACATGTCCCACCTCTTCACCTTCCACCAGGTCTCTGCAGAGAGATACTGCCCCTTCTTCAGCACCTGCTTCAGTGACGGGAGGGACAACGTGGAGCCCATGCGCCTCTGTCACCTGGCCCTGTGAGGGACGAGGGTGCCCTGGGGACACCAGCCTGGCTCCTGCCCGGGGCTGCACTGAAGGCCAGCTCTGCACACACAAGCCATCGTGACGGGTGTTGGAGGAGCTGTTTTGGTTTCAGTTTTGGGAGGGAGGAGGGGATGAGTTTCTTCCCAGGTCCCGTCTGCCCTCCCATCCCTGTGCCATGGTTGTGGTTGCCACAAGGCATTCACAGAGGTTCCTGGCACCCCTAGAAGCACAACCTCCCATTCCTGAGCACGGCACAGTTCAGTAACAGCAGCCACGGGGCTGCGGGGGCGGTGGCTCTGGGTTGCTGGCACCTCCTGCCTCTCTGTGCTCCCCTGGAGGACGGCAGCGGTCCCGGGGCACCATTGGGTGCCTCTCCACTCCACATCCCAACCGCGGGCATCCTCTGCTGGAAGAGCTTCCCGGGGCAGGGCTGCGGGCCGGCAGCAGAGGGAGCCCGGTGCGCAGCCCAGGGACTGCAGCGCAGCTCCTTCACTTCGCTCTCTATTAAAGCTCGTTAGAAAGCCAGTGGTGCCTGCTGGGCCTGCTCGAGGCTTGTGTGCTTGGGGGGATCTGCTGCTCTAGGGTGTGGCACAGCCTGGGGGCACCGAGCAGCCCCCGGAGCTCTGCTCCAGCTCTGGCTCTTCTGTGCCTACAGCACAGGAGGCTTGAAAGAGCCACTGCTCCCACACAGTTCCTTGGAGCACTCCCTGCACATCTTGCAGTGGCTTTTCACCATTTGCTGCTTGAGAACAAGAGAGAGAGGTCCTCTGAGCCTAGCCCTGATCTTGGGCTACAGCACTTTAAGATTTGGCCATCTCTGGCCTGGCTGGGTCTTAAGAATTTGTACATGTGTAAAATGCCAAGTCCTAATTCTTTCCAAATTCAGCAAGAATGTGTCTCTTTTCCTGTCAGCCCCCCGTGGCCCTGCTGGCAGTGCAGCACCTGCAGGAGGGCAGGCAGGAGTCCCTGGTGGGGGCAAGTCAAGGGGGTTTGGCTGCTGTGGTTTGTGCCCAGGAGGTGCTGGCAGTGTCTCTGCCTCATGAGTCAGCAGAGGTGCTGGGATGGGTCCAAGCCTGGCTGGTGGAAGTGGTGGGTGGGAGGGGGGATGGCAGTGCCTGGGGTTGGTGGAAATGTCATGTTTTTCCCACCCAAATCCATTCTAGGCTGAAAGCAGAGGCCAGAGCTCTGCAGTACTGCATAGTCTCCAGTGCTGGCTGGAGCCAGACACCTCCGGCAGAGGCTCAGCTTTCTGTGGTGTGGGAAGGGCCAGGTGTGAGGCTTTCCAGCTCCCACAGCTGGGCACAGGGACACTTGCCAAAGCAAGGCCTTCACTGCCTGCCCTGTTCCCCTGTGGTGCCAAAAGGGAAGTTGCCTCTCCTGCGTGCTACTGCTGCAGTGTGCCAGGGCTGGGGGGGCCTAATGCCTGTGCCAGGGCAGGAGAAGCCAGAGATGAGGATATCCCATGCAGGGTTCAGGCAGATGTGTCCTGTGCAGGAGTGTTGAGTACAGCCCAGGGCTGCTCCCAGTGATCAAGGAGCTCTGTGCAGCCTTGCTCGGGGCTTGGGTGTGGAAGTGATGCTGGGGGTTTGTGCTCCCTCCTGGTTCTCAGTGAGTGCTGAGCCCATGAGGTGGATTCAGCCTCCTCTCCCAGCTCTCATGTCTTCCTCCTGCTGCCCCACAGCTTCAGCTGAAATGAGAATGGAAAAGAAGGAGCTGCTGGCTTGGAAATGGTGCTGCAAGCCGGGCTGTGTTACCCCCTGAAGGGCTGGAAGCCTCTGGAAAGATGAGGCTGGTTTGATCACAGCAGGGAGTTACGCTGGGGAAAGCTGAATTCCATCAGCTCCCCAGCCTGCCCAAACTGCGGCCAGGTACGGCTGGGCAGCAACAGGCAGCGTCCCCAAGGGGTGGGGGGCAGTGGATCTGGTGAGCCCTGGCAGGGGTGAGCACAGCCAGGCTTTGTTGTGTGCCAGCTCCCGCTGCCCAACGCTGCCGTGTGCTGCGTGGGCCAGCGCGATGGCACAGGCTGCCAGCGTGTGCCACTGCCACTGCTGCCACCTCCCACACCCTCCCCGTGCCTAAGGCAGAGCTGGAGAGCAGCCAAACCTGCTTGTCCCAAATGCTCCTGAGGAAGCACATCCTCCCTTCTCCTGCCGGGCTGTGTGTGGTGGCCGTGGTGTGCTCTGCTGCCAGGCAGAGCCCGTTTTGGGGTATAATGTCCTTGCCTGGCCCTGCTGCATGGGCAGGGCTGGGGGGGCAGAGCAGCTCCTACAGACAGGGAAGATGCTGCTCTGGGCTGCCGTGCGTGCAGCGTTAGGCCAGTGAGGAAATGCAGTCTGCCACTAAATGCTGCGTGGAAAACAATTCTCTGACAAACCAGAGCACCGTGGAGTAGGAACCATGGGCATGAATGCAGTGAGTACCTGAGCTTGGCTTGGGTTCAGGCTGGAGGGGATAGGGATGGGAGAGTGGGCACCATGGGGTTACAGCACCCCTCACCCCAGCATCCAGACTCTGCACCTGCCAGGGCTGGCTCTTCTCATCTTCTCCCAGGGCCAGGCTGTATTTTTATTGTGGGTTACCTCATTGCTTTGTCCCTGGGTGTTCCCAGAGCCACCCCAGTGTCCCTTTCCCATAGCTGTGCTAGGGCTGGGCAGTGTCCAGCAGCTCCTGCCTTGGCAGCATTCTGTGACCTGTGTGTGTCTTTATCCAGTGTTTTGGGGAAACCTTTGCTTCCTCGGGTCCCCCCACGTCCTGGAAAGGGGACAAGATTTTAAAATAAGATCCTTTTGTTTCCCAGGGCTGCAACAATGGAAAGATCCCATCGGTCCCACAGTCGCCCTGCGTTTGTGATGGAAAATTCCCCGCCGTGGCAGGGCGAGCGCTCCGCGGTGTCCTGCCCTTCCAGCCATTAGATGGCAGCATGGACGGGCTGGTCCCGGCCACCGCCGCCTGCACCGTGCCGCCTTCCGACTGCAGCGGGTGGAGGATGCCAAAATCCCTTGACTTCTGGGGTGCCAGAAGATGCCTCTCCCCTCAACCCTGTGTCATACCCTCTGCTCCTCTCGCACTCAGCTTCTCCAGGCACGCTCTGACTGCGCTTCGGCCAGCAGTGGTGCCCTGTGATTCGTTTCCCTGTCACTATCCAGCGCTCAGCATCGCTCACCTCTCAAGGGCGCTGACCCCGATGCTGTCCCCAGTATGGGTGCACTATGTGGCTGCCCCTTCTCTGATCGCAGCCCCTGGGGAGGGGTCTGATCCCTCAACTTCAGCTCTTCACTCCTTACTGCTGGTCAGTGCCGCCCCACTGTGACATTCCAGCTCTCCCTTATCATGGCAAGTTTTGGAAGTCTCTCCTCAAGCTTGTAGGGACTTGGACACCCACCTGGGGTGAAGGGACTCGGGCGCTTTCTGCTCTGCTGAGATCCAGGAGGGAGGTGATCCAAAATGAGTGCGCTCAAGAGCTGGCACTCTGGGTTTAAAACTCACTAATCAGGATGGGAGTTAGGCAATGTGAGAGTTGTGTGCACCAGAAGTTTTCCTGCCTTTTTGAAGCCGTGAGTACATGGCTTTCATTCAGGCTCTTTCTTCACTGCCTACAAGTGAGCGTAATTAATAATCCTCCGGGGCGCAGCTCGGGGCCGTGTTAATTTATCTGTTCAGCGCTCGCTGGGTGCACAGGCAGCTGGCCAGGGCTGTGCCGGCCGTGCTCCCAAAGCTCTGCCATCGCCTCCGCCTGTTCGCAGCCGCTTCGCTCCGAGCCGGAGCCGCTGGCGCTGGCAGTGGCAGCGGTGTGGGGGCAGCGCCGCTGGCACCAGCGGGACGGCACCGCTCGTCTGCCAACGCCACGGGCGGGTGGGGTTTGGTTTGGTGTGTACCTGCCAGAGAACCGTGCGGGTGCCACACCGAGCCGTGATGAGCGACAGTGGCTGTTCCACGCTGCTGGCGCTGTGCACGCGTGGACGGCGTGAGTGGGGGGCCCTACTGCACCCCCGGTGAATAAAGGTGCAAGTGTGAGCACAGCCAAGTGCGTGTGTGTCTTTTTGTGCCCCAGGGAGTGTGTCCCAGGGAGGAGGAGGGAGGTTCAAGGCGTGTGCGCAGGACTGTGTGCCTGGGTGTGTGAGGTGTGGAACTGGGGGGGTGCGCAGACATGAAGGGGTGTGTGCAGGCAGGTGCGAGATGTGTTCCATCGCATGAGGTGCGTGCGTGCTGTTGTTGAGAGCGTGTTTGTGTGATTCCCACTGCTCCGAGGGGCCGGGATGTGCACCCAGGCACGGACAAGAAACAGGCGATGTGCGGGCATTCTCACACAAGTGCAGGGAGATACACGCGATGCACACAGGTGTGAAAATACACGCAGTTGTTGGGGTGCTCGTGTGCCCATGGGTCAGGGATGATTCAGCCCCACGCAGATGGGTGGGAAACAGATTTTTCCCCCAGATGCAGGGGATGCAGACCCACACACACAGATGGAGACAGCCAGTTGCGAAGGGATGTGCGCACCCCCGCTGGTGCGGGGAGCGCGGATTCCCCGTCAGTGCCCGGAGATGCAGGTGCGCTCCCCCCAGCCCCCTCTGGCTCCCCGCCCGCCCCTCCCCGTCCCGCCCCGCCCGCCCGGCGCCCCGAGGCTCGGCGGAGGGCGGCGGGCGGCCCGGGCGGGCGGAGGAAAAGGAAGCGGCCCCGGTGCTCCCCGCCCGCCGCCGCCGCGCGTCGCCGCAGCTGGGGCGCGGCGGGAGCAGAGCTCGGGCGCGGGGCGCTCGCACCGCTCCGCATCGCACGGACCTGCCGGCAGCCCCGGAGATGAGGAGAGTTTGCACGCTGCCCCTCTGGCTCTGGCTCGGCATTGTCTCGGAGGCAGGTGAGCTGCCGGGGCTGCGGGCTGCCCTGCCCGCTCTGATGCCCGCTCCGCACCTGCGGGCGCGCTGGGGACGGGGGTGCTCGGACGGGACGGGACGGGACTCGGCGCCTCCGCCCGCGTGTCCCGCAGAGCCCGCAGGGACCGGCACTGCCCGCCGCGGCGTCCCTCACCCGGCACTGGGATGTGCCGTGCCCTGGCGCTGCCCGTCAGGGCTCCCCCATCCCCGGCGGGGACCGGCGCTCCCGGTCCCGGCGCCCCCGATCCCCGGCGGGGACGGGCGCAGTCCGCCCTGGGGTGCCCCGTCTCCGACCGGCGCTGCCCGACCCGACCCCAAGCAGGACGCGCCTCGGTGCCCGCCCGGGTGTCCCCGACGGCGGTGACAGCCTGCCCGCCGCGACAGCACGGGACGGGAGGACCCTGCAGCGGGTCCGGGGCCGCGGGGAGCCCACGCCGTGCTCGTAGCGCGGGTGTCTCGCTGCGAGCGCGGACAAACCCCGCGGGACCCTCGCGGGAGGGATGGCGCTGCGCGGGATCGCGCCCGGCTGGAGGCCAGCCCCGGCTCTGTTTATTTATTTTTTCACGCAAAGAGTCATTAATTTGTGTGTGCCGGGGAGGAAGGCGCAAGGAGGCGGGGGTCCGTGCAAAGCTGTCCAGCCTGCCTGTCCCAGCT